GAACCGATTTCCACGGTTTTGCATTCGTTGGAGGTTTATAGCTAAGAAAATTCAGGAAAAATTTCAATAGAAAAGTATATGGTGTGTGAGTATCCCTCACGAAAATAAGTATGTTTCATTTAAAGTAGATGGTGCCGGTGCGTGAAACATTGTTTAACAGCTATTCATTGTACTTTGCTCAGTTAATTTCATGTGACACTAGCGAATACCCGGCGTGCTTCGCTGCGCCTTAAAAGTAATTTTGTTTTGTTACTCCCTCTCACAACATTTGAAAATATTAGTTAATATTGCTGTACATATTTGTATAGTAGGGAGATTTTTTCAAATTATATAAATATACGTTATTTGAATATTGAATCAATACACGTTTGAGGAAAGGGTGCGATAGTAGACTCCAGTTATAAGATTATAAATTAAATTTCCAAGAGAAAGTCGGTTCTTTACATATTTTCTAATTACCTTCGAAAATATATTAACCCAAAAAAAAAAATAAACAATGCTTCATAGATCGATTTTTTTTAAATCTAACTTCATAAAGTTCTTTAAAAATATTTTGTAAATGAGGCCATAAGAGCTTAGGGGGAGAGTTACAACACAAAAATACATTTAAGGCGCAGCGAAGCACGCCGGGTAATTGCTGGTTATATTATATGACTCACAGCAGCTAACAAATAATTCCTCAATGACACGCGATACATAAAAATATGGTGAAATATTAAACTGACGGTAATTTAGTATATTGTACGAAAATATTCGTCTGTTGTACGAATTTAAAAAAAAATTTTCTGCATTTGTTCTATGTACGAAAGTATTAAGTAAATGGTATGAATACAGAATTGTAGATTTCGTAAATTTTTTAAACCATACATACACATACATATTACGAATGCCTTCCTACAATATACAAAATTATTCGCACAGAGATTTGTTCAGTGCTTTACGAATGTGTTTCGTAAAATAAACGTAAGATTTCGTAAATTGTACTGAAAAAATGCCTTACGAAAGTCTTTTCGTTATATTTACGTATGGTTAGTAAAATCTTGTTTCGTTGTGAAAAATGTGTTCGTATTATGAACGAAAGTTTCGTACATTGTACAAGACTACGAAAATTTTTCGTAGCACTTTTACGAAATTTTATTTTCAGTACAGACAAACATACATACCATGTCACTGAACTAATTTATTTCGTTTCTAGATGAATTTCGTAGTAAAGTTGCTTGCCACAATGATATTGCTCAGTTGGAATGTAATCCTTATGCTCGCATAGCAGTGTACAGTGCAAGCTTTGGGCGCACAGAGTACGAAAGCATTCAATGTCCACAACCGCAAGGAGTTCGTGAAGAAAGTAAGTGGTTTGAAAGAAGGTGTCGCATGAACTGCATTTGCGTTCCCGGATGGAATTTTATTCACATTAACATTTGCTTTGTGCAGTGATTTAAAGGTACGTTTAATTTTCTTTTTTCGTAATTCCTAGCTTGCCAAGCATCATACGCCACTGAAACGGTTATGCAGATTTGCCATGGACGTCGCCGCTGCAATTTAGCAGCGGATGCGAAGACATTCGGGTCTCCATGTAAACCTAACTCGCGAATGTATCTGAAGGTTGTCTACACTTGCGGTATGTGACTTTACTTAAAATTTTCACTTTAAATTCTTTAGTCTTTTTCACTTATCATATTGTGAATAGGCCATTGGTTTACCTTCGTAATTTACTTTAAATAACACTTTATTAAAAATTATATGCAGGAAATAAGGAAAAATATATCAGGAGATATGGGTAACTCTCAATTAGTTCGAACTTTCGCATGATTTGACAGGTTTTATTTGAGTAGGAGATCTGACAAAGGTACGACCTTCACCCATCTGTTTAATGGATGAAATCTACTTTATATGAAATTTGACGTTTTACGAAATATTTCGCGGGTGGGTTGGCTGAAAAATCCTGGCCACGATAATTTTAATTGGGCTTGGGACCCGCCACGTAAAAACCACTTCCAGTGAATAAGCAAGGCAAAGCCTCGGATGAGACCCCCCCTTATGATGACGACCACGGCAAACGTTTAAAAGACTACGATTTGAAGGCATGCACCTGGAACGTCCGGACCCTTAATGGGGAAGCTATCTCTGCCCGGCTGGTTGATGTCCTCGTAAGGACAAAAGCTGACATCACCCCTATTCAAGAAATGCGTTGGACGGGGCAAGGTAAGCAATTTCTGGGGCCTTGCGACGTTCACTACAGCTGCCCTGTAAAGGAGCGAAAATTAAGAGTTGGATTTGTGGTGGGAGGGAGACTCCGTCGCCGAGTACTGTCGTTCACCCCGGTGGACGAGCGTCTAGCTACAATCCGCATCAAAGCGAGATTATTCAACATCTTGCTCTTCTGCGCCCATGCCCCGACGAAAGGGAAGGAAGAGGCATCCAAGGATCTCGTCAATGAGCGCTTGGAGCGCACATACATACGTGCGCTCCCCCGTCATGATATCAAGATCGTGCTTGGCGACTTCAATGCCAGGGTGGGCAAGGAAGGGATCTTTTGAACTACCGTCGGAAAATTTAGCCTCCACGACGAAACGTCCGACAGCGGAGTGAGGCTGATCGACTTCGCCGGGGCCCGAAACATGGTAGTATGCAGTACTAGGTTCAAGCATAAAAAGATCCATCAAGCTACGTGGATGTCTCCGGATCGAAAAACGAGAAATCAAATCGATCATGTTGTGATATACGGAAGGCACGCTTCCAGTGTTTTAGATTTACGCATACTCCGAGGCCCAAACATGGACTCGGACCAATATCTTGTTGCAGCCAAGATACGCACCCGCCTCTGTGCAGCAAAAAAATGTCCGCCCAAATATGCAAGGAAAGCTTAACGTCGAAAAGCTGCAATCACAACAGGCAGCCAGCGCTTACACTACTCGACTCTCACACCTGCTCTCAGAGAGCACTCTTGAACAAACCGACATATGCGAGCAGTGGGATCACATTTCCCGCTCATTAAGTACCGCCGCCGAAGAAGTAGTCGGATTTTAGCGAGCCCGAAAGAACAACTGGTACTATGAGGAGTGTCAGGAAGCTGCAGAGAAGAAAGATGCCGCCTACAGGGCCACGCTGCGATCGGGCGCAACGCGCGCTATGGGGGACCGCTATAGGGATCTGAAGAGGGAAGCGAGACGTATTTGCCACAATAAGAAGAGAGAGGCCGAAAAACGTGAGCGCGAAGAGCTTGAAATGCTGGCCGACAGGAAGAATGCCAGAAAATTGTATCAGAGAGTTAGGCGACTTAAGGAAGGTTTAAAGACCGGGGCGTACTCCTGTAAGAACAATAATGGCGACCTAGTAACTGATGTCCAGAGCGTACTTAAATTATGGAGGGAACAATGGTAGCAGCACGGTAAGTTGTGGAGAAGAAGAACCCGAGCCTGCAATCGATGATGACGGAGTCAACGTTACACCGCCTGACTATGACGAGGTACGTATAGCAATAATGCGGCTGAAAAACAACAAAACTGCTGGAGCTGACAGCCTGCCAGCTGAGCTATTCAAGTACGGCGGCGAGGAGTTGTTAAATGCATGCATTAACTCTTGTGCAGAATATGGTCAGATGAACGCAGGCCCGACGACTGGAATTTAAGTGTGCTCTGCCTAATCCACATGGCTTCCAGGCTTTAGACCTGGCAAATCCACCATAGACCAGGTATTCACAATACGCCAAATCTTAAAAAAGACCCGCGAGAAAAGGATCGACACTCACCACCTATTTGTCGACTTTAAAGCCGCTTTTGACAGCACTAAAATGAGTTGCCTAGACGGCGCTATGTCTAAATTTGGCATCCCCTCAAAACTCATACTGCTGTGTAAAATGGCGTTGAGCAATACCACCAGCTCCGTCAGAATTTGGAAAGACCCCTCCGAGCCGTTCGCCACAAAACGGGGTTTCGGACAGGGCGACTCCCTTTCATGTGACTTCTTTAATCTGATGTTGGAGAAGATAATAAGAGCTGCAGAACTGAACCGCTCAGGAACAATTTACTACAAGAGCGTGCAATTTCTGGCTTATGCCGATGACATCGACATCATCGGTAACAAAAACCGCGAAGTCGGTTCTCCCTTTTCCAAGTTGTATAGGGAAGCAAAGCGAATGGGTCTGGTGGTAAACGAGGACAAGACGAAGTATCTCCTGTCATCAAACAAGCAGTCAGCACATTCACGCCTTGGCACCCACGTCACTGTTGACAGTTACAATTTCGAGAAAGTAGAGAATTTCGTTTACTTGGGAACCAGCATTAATACCGATAATAATGTCAGCATTGAAATCCAACGCAGAATCACTCTTGCCAACAAGTGCTACTTTGGACTAAGTAGGCAATTCAGAAGTAAAGTCCTCTCTCGCCGTACGAAAACCACGCTCTATAAGTCACTCATCATGCCCGTGCTGGTATATGGCGCAGAAGCATGAACAATGACAACATCCGATAAGGCGGCTCTTGGAGTACTCGAGAGAAAGATTTTGCAGAAGATTTGTGGGAGGGAGGCTCCCACTGCGATGGAAAGATCAGGTGGAGAAGAACTTGGCTTCACTTGGCGTTTCCAATTGGCGTCAGTTGGCACAGAGGAGAAACGACTGGCGTGCTTTGCTGAACTCGGCCAAAATCGATTAGGCGGTTACAGCGTCAACAAAGAAGAAGAAGGATAATTTAGTTAAATATTCAAATCATATTATAATTTTTTTTAATTTTGGACTCATTGGTTTAATGAACAAATTACATATATACCAATCGAAAGCATAAAGCCTATGGAATATGTTAAACATATGAGTGAAAATTGCTAGTATTAGCACGTGTTCACACCTGCCAACACGATATGTAGATGTGGCAGCACACCTGCAGTGTGCGGTAACCCCAAATTGCCTCAAGCACAAATGCGACCTTGCGTTAGATAAAATACTAAAATTATAATCTGGCATGACTTTCCGACTTCCTGCCCTCTTTTCGTCTGGATTTCGTACTGCTAAGTCGTGCTTGCCTAGATACTAATAAAAATACTTAATGTTAATTCCTTAACCAAATCCTTAGTTTACTATTAAATCAAAAATAAAACTTTGTATATCTTGCTACATCCATTTTTTCTTCCTTGCTAGTTTGAGAGGGATACTCTATTACACCAAAATGGTGACCCCGACGTGATCTCGCACTCGGACAAGCGCGACAAGCACGTGTAAGCACATAACCAAACTTTAAGGGTAAGACAATGCCGATCGAAACGAAAGACGGTGGGTTGCCGGCCGCAGCCGAGATAGGTGCACCGGCCGCAGCAACGGTCCCGCCCGCTAATACTATCGCGGTAGTGTATGCCAGGTTACCAGTATAGCCAATGAGCAGCAGGTTTACTTCAATGGATTTTTGGTTTGCTGCTTCAGGCATCACGGCCGAGAAGCAAAAAACGGCAACTGTTTTGGCAGCGTTGTACCCGAACGTCCTCGCCCAACTGGGGGATGTCATTGCATCGCTACCGCAAAACGACAGGTTCGAGTATGTGCGGCAAAGAATTATCGAGCACTTCGCCGATATCGAACAGCGACGCCTCAACCGCGTACTCTCAGAATTGCCACTGGGGGATAAGAAACCGTCAGAACTTTTCTTTGAAATGAAGCGCGTCGCTGGCAACACACTCGGCGATACGGCGCTCAAAAACCTCTGTATCAAACGTTTACCGGAGTTCGCACAAGCAGTCATAGCAGCCTCATCCGGTACTGCGACCGAGTTTACGAAAATAGCCGACACAATAGTGGATGCTATCGCGCCGCTTCAAGTGAACCGCGTTAAGTCGACACCTCAAATTGAAGTCAACGAACTGCGTGCATTCGTAATGGAACTAGACAAAAAACTTTAAAAATTCGCTATTCGTTCGCGTTCGCGTAATCGTGGGCGGTCAACCTCTCGACCAAGAGCTAATGCACGAAACAATTCTGAAACAGCAGCAAATTCACAAGAAACATCATCTGTTGCAGCCCAAGACTGTTGGTACCACCAGAAATATGGCTCTGACGCTCGGAAGTGCCGTATACCGTGCCGCCGCAGAAACCACGTGGTTCGAGCGATAGCCTCCGTATCCGATGCATTCTGACTACGGAAGCGAGTGGCGGACGATAGAGAAGGGTCCGTCACAGAGCGCAAAGTTCTTCGCCTTCAAGTGCACGAACGACGGACAGTGAAAATGTTCCTTGTCAGTACCGGAGCCGACGTGTCCGTCCTGCCCATCTCTGCCAGTTCTCGCGATATGCGACCTACCACAACCAAACTGTATCCCGAAAATGGTTCTACCATCAAGACCATCGGTGAAAAAAGAATCAACTTGGATCTCGGACTTCGTCGAGATTTCCCGTGGTCGTTCATAATCGCCGATGTTACAACACCGATAATCGGCGCAGACTTCGTTCGTTTCTATGATCTTCTCATCGATTTGCGTCGAAACCAACTGATCGACAATCTCACCAAACTGCGATCTTCACTAACTGCGTCAACGTTTTCCAAGGTAACCCAGATTAAAATATTCAACGCAAATGACCCCTTTGCTGATTTGTTGCGCGAGTTTGCGGATATCACGAAGCTAGCAAATTTTGGTCCTTCGACCAAATCCACGGTAGTTCAGCGCATAGTGACATCGGTCAACCGGTGTTTTCTCGACCGCGACGGAACCAGAAGACCATGCGGCGATTATCGTGCGCTTAATGCACAAACTGTACCCGACCGATATCCGCTGCCATATTTATCGGATTTTACAAGCAACTTACGAGGTAAGATAATTTTCTCGAAGATCGATCTCCAACGTGCTTTTCACCAAGTGCCGATCCACGACGATGTTGTAGCCAAAACAGCCATAACGACGCCATTCGGGTTGTTCGAATTTCGGTTCATGACCTTTGGATTATGTAACGCCGCGCAAACCTTTCAAAGGCTGATAAACGAAGTTTTGCGTGGTCTAGACTGCGCTTTCCCTTATATCGACGACATTTGTATAGCGTCGTCGTCGGCGCAACAGCATCGTCGAGACATACGCGCAGTCCTTCAACGACTCCGAGACAACAATCTCGAAACTAATGTGTCCAAATGCGATTTTGGCAAAAGCGAGCTAAGATTTCTCGGGCACTTAGTCGACGCCCGAGGAATTCGTCCTTTACCCGAAAGGATCACGGCGATCCGCGATTTCCCGAAACCCACGATAGCCAAGGAGTTAAAGAGTTTCATCGCAATGGTAAATTTTTACCGCAAATTCTTGCCAAACGCTGTCGCCTACCAATCGCATTTGCTACAGCTGATTACGGGCAACAGGAAAAATGATCGCACGCGACTCGTGTGGAACAGTGAAGTAGAAACTGCTTTTGACCGTTGCAAAGCTGAATTGTCGGAAGCAACACTGCTCGTGCACCCAGTGTCAGCGGCAGAGTTATCGTTATACATATATAGACGCTTCGGATACAGTCGAGGGGGCTGCCTTACACCAAGTCGTAAACGGAGAACTAGATCATCGCCCACTGGTCTACGCCTTTCGACAGAAGTTGGAGAAAGCTTCACCTCGTAGAGTCCGTCAACTCGATTTTATAGGCCAATTTACGACCGACTTTCGTCACACGCCTGGTAAACAAAACGCCGCCGACGACCTGCTGTCACGCATACAATCGATCGACGAGATTATCGATAATGAAAAGATCGCAGCAGCGCAGAAAACCGACACCCATCTGCTAACATTGCTTAACGATTCAAGTATGCATAGTACCTCGTTAGTACTAAAGCATTTTTCCATTCCCAACAGTAACGCCCGGCTGGTATGCGACACGTCGACCGCAAGCATTCGCCCCTACGTACCACACGAATTCCGAAGAACACTACTTGCGAAGGTACACGGCTTATCGCACCCAGGCTTCCGCGCAACTACAAACCTGATGACGCAAAGATTTGTTTGTCCCGGCATAAGGAAAGACTCAACGATATTCGCCCGGAACTGCGAAGCTTGCCAACGATCTAAGATTCATCGACACACCAAATCTCGCGCTCGTTACGAAGCGCCAAAAGAACGGTTCTCTCACGTCAACATCGACATCGTTGGCCCTCTTCCTCCTTGCGAAGGACAACGTTTTTGCCTCACGGTGATCGACAGATACACCCGCTGGTCAGAAGCAGCTCCAATGCCAGATATGTCCGCCGAGTCCGTCGCGAAAGCGTTTATAGGCAACTGGGTTTCGAGATTTGGTGTTCCAGCACGTATTTCGTTGGATCAGGCCGACAATTCGACTCCGCAGTATTCGCCGAGTTAATGAAAGCAATTGGCGCAACCCACCTTCGGACCTCACCATACCATCCGCAGTCAAACGGCATAATTGAAAGATGGCATCGAAGCTTCAAAGGTGCTATTTTAAGCCACGATCCATCAAGGTGGGTACATCATTTACCAGCAATTCTGCTCGGCCTCCGCGTGGCTTATGAACCTGATATACACGCATGCACCTCCATGCTCGTTTACGGTTCTATGTTGCGGATTCCAGCGAATTTTTCCAGGAAACAAGTCTAAAAGAAGTGACCCAACAAACAGTATCTCAGTTTCGGGCGGCCATGCAGAAACTGCGTTCTACCCATACAGCGCATCATACGACTCCCAGAGTGTTTGTTTCTCCTGCACTTAATTCGGCATCTCAAGTATTCGTTCGGAATGACTCGATCCGTCCTTCACTCACAAATCCGTATGACGGACCGTATCCCGTCGTAAAGAGATCACCAAAATTTTTAAACTCCTCATACGGGGGAGACACACTGATATAAGCATCGATCGGCTCAAACCCGCATTCTTCGCCAATGGCGATTATGAAGATCCAGGCCACACCACACAACGAGAGAAATCGTCACTTGCGCCGGATCCTAAAACGACGAAATGTACCCGCAGTGGGAGGCGTATATACATTCCTCTTCGATATAGATAGTTTCGTCTGGACGGGGAGTACTGTGGCAGCACACCTGCAGCGTGCGGTATCCCCAAAAATGCCTCAAGCACAAATGCGACCTTGCGTTAGATAAAATACAAAAATTATAATCTGGCATGACTTTCCGCCTTTCTGTCCTTTTTTCGTCTGCATTTCGTGCTGCTAAGTCGTGCTTGCCTAGATAATAATAAAAATACTTAATATTAATTGATTAAACAAATCCTTAGTTTACTATTAAATCAAAAATAAAGCTTTGAATATCTTGCTACATCCATTTTTTCTTCCTTGCGAGTTTGAGAGGGATACTATATTAAAACCTCCAAATAGGCTAGAAAAAATAGACAACCCAACGTTTTCACATTCTATAGGATTAATACTTTTGATTGGTATATTATTTGTTCATTAAACAAATGAGTACAGAATTAAAAAATAATAATAATTTTTGAATATTCAATTAAAAATATCCTGGCCAGAATTTTTTCGGCCAACCCACTCGCAAAATATTTATTAACACGTTAAATTTCATAGAAAAAGGATTTCATCCATTAAACAGATGGGTGAAGGTCGTGCCTTTGTCGGATCTTAGACTATGATTTTAAACAAATTCAGAACTTGAGCGTTTCATCATCATCAATCACTGTGCTCTTTGAATTGTGCCACAAAACTACATTTTTTATAATATCAGAAATTACAAAAATAATGCAACGCCAGAACCAAAGCAACTGTACTTATAGGGAACATATTGCCACTATATTGACTTGTATCTTTGTTTTTTATTTGGACGATAAGTGTCCTGGTCGATGGGTTCAGAATTATGGCAGCCCTATACTAGACCGACGATGGTCTCAATCAACGTATAAAAACGTAAACTTCACTTATAAAAAACTACACAGACTTTATTGTGCCTGTAAATAACTATCGGTGTTAGGCGATAGTTTGTTTAGGAAATCATCGATTGTAGTGCCTTTGGATGTTTCTGCAGTTCAATCAAACTAAAACAAACTGGAAACTTTAACTGGTCTGTCAAAATTGTGTACAGAATATTTTGAAGTCTCATTTAGTGGAAGCGCCTAAATATAACTAAATAAAAATTTTCAATAAATTGTTGAATTAAAAAAGTAAAAAAAA